TGCTTTGCAAAATATTTTGTAACAAAAGAAAAAAAATACGTACTGAAAAACAGGCTCTGTATACCAATAATAAAAGATTTCCGCAGACATGACGTTATTTCGTACGGCACGAACTAGGACGGATGTCATCTTCGAGATGTATGCACTGCTGAGTTACTGTTGTATCTGTAACTTTATGTTGATAGACGCTTTGGAATTTATTTTCAACCTCTTAAAAATCTTAGGCCTATAGCTAATCAAGCATGTTATTACTCTATATCTTACATTTTTATTTTATTAGCTGAATTCCGGGCACATGCACGCATAATATCACAAGAATGGGAAACGGTTGTTAAAGAATTGTTTTAACCCAAATTGTTGGCCAATGTTATATAAAATTTATGTAACTTAAACTGGCTATGTACAAGAATCAGTATGTAAATTGAAACGCTACCGAAACGAGATATCGTTTACGAATATTATGGAATTATTCCGCTTCATTTTTCCACTTATTGTAAAACATGATGAACATATATATATACGGGAATTTTCAGTGTGTTAGTGGAATTTTGATATTAAATCTCTATAAACTACTAGATGTTACAGTTAGACGGTCACTTATAACTATTTTTTCCATCTTTTAGTTGAATAGTTGCATATTTTCTCACGAAGTCCTCTTTAGACGAATAATCCTTAGTAGTATGAGTATACATTTTATACATCTGGACGCTAAAGCATATGTATACACAGAAGCATAATTTTGCAGTAGAGCTGTCTAGAAAACCACGATGTGTAAGGGAAAGCCTCAAAACGAATAAGTGTCAGATTTCAGAAACATTCTTGTGTGGATTACATTTGACGATTTCTTTTTTAACTGCCAGAAGCGCTGCCACTTCAACACTCTCATTTAACACTTCGTGCGGGCTTCCGTTCCTCAAGTGTTCCCTCTTATGCATTGAAGTGGCACTCGAGAAAACTCGCCGAAAATTATCTCCCTCTATCTTATGTCATAAAGAGTTAAGAGGGATGTTAAATGTAATCTCTACGGGCAATGAATCAGAATAATACTAAAGTTCCGAATATTTTTTTCTGCATTTCATTTTTTTCCCCGGCCCCAATGCGAGTGACTGATATGAGCGCGTTGGTAAACATTATGTAACTCTAAATGTTTCCCATGCTTGTGTTACAAGGGCAATGTGAATTTAAACAGCGTAGCTGTATGCTTTTCATTTACATGCCGCTCAAAATACATGATATTGTACGTTTTGTGAATATTTGCGTAATTTATGATGATAGAAAAGTATGAGAATGCCTCAAAACGCAATGCTTATAAATGGTAATTCGTGGCCTGATGATTTAATAAATTTTTAAAATGATGAATAAAAGTTAAGAAATATGACACGTGCTTTTATTGCTTCAATTTAAAGATTATACATTTAGTTCTACTCGCGTTTAATTCTTTATACTCTTAATTCTCAAAAATCCTCCGGAAATTGAAATTGTGTACGAATAGCATAAAAGCACAGACCAAGTAATAAAACTGCTTTGACGCAACTGATTCAGTTTCCTCATCGAAATAGGTGTTAAGGTAACCGAAATTCATTTTTCCACAGAATATGATAATTCTTGTATTTATAAATTTAGTTGATGAATCGTGATATTCAGAAGGATTTTCGAAAACACGTATTTTAATTTGCTTTTATAAAAGTGCTCTAAAATGCGATTTTATAAAAACAACATTTTCCAGCATGCTACAATGAGAATAACAGAGAAAAAAGAAAAGTCGTAAAAATTACAATAATTTAAAAATTTCTACAGTTAACTTTTTTTTTCTTTTTGCACACTGCGACCTCCCTAAGAAAGAGAATTCAGTTTCGTCAAATTTAAAAGCTTTGTTTCTAAATAAAATGGTTTGGTTTATAAGTTAAGGTTGAAGATGTCACATCAGAGAAGGAAAGAAGTGATTAGAATTTTAAGCATTGCGACACTCCTTCTCTATATTCACCATTATTTGATTCTTCCCAAATTCCGTTTCCTTATTTTTTTATGCTTAACATAATTAGCAATATTTTTTTAAAGTTTTTAGGTCTAAAAATTTTACGAAAACACTTTACAAAAGATTCCAGTTAAGCAAACCCACTAACGGTAGAACGGTAAAGTCGCTGAACACTGGTAGTTTGGTACGGGGTTTGAATTCCTACAAACGGGCTGGCTGCATGGTTTTTCTCATGTGAAACGTGTATACGAGCCAGTTTTCCTTAGAAAGTCCTCTACGAAGGCAGATAGTGCTTTGCCATAATCAAATAAACCAAACGAAGCCAGTTAAGGAATGGGAAATTTTGACTGAGCGGTTCAATAAGTAATATTGTTTCCCCAGATAACAAATGAAAGTCAAATCTCGATTGGAGAGAAAATCGAGAGTATGATGAAGTCTTAAAAAATTAAAGAATATATGATATTTTGTGAGTTGATAAAGGACTAAAATATTAAGATTTTTTTATTACAGAACATATAAGCTAGCAAAGATCTATAAGGTGGAAGAAAAGGGCATTTAAATTTAATCAAGTTTGTGAAATAGCAGTTTCCTACAGTACAAGCCCCCTTCTCTGCCTAAAATTACCGCTGAAATTTAGCCTATTTTAAGAAGTTCTGAATTTTTCAGTATAATAGCTACTGCAGTAAACGCTGTAACACCGTAAAAAAGAACATTCAGCGGTCGGTGAGAAGGCTCGTATGAGCAATCATTTTTACATTTGTATTTTGAGTGAAACACATTGTAAATGCTTATACCAATCAAATGATGGAAAACATGCCTGTAAAAGGTTCTTAACTCCTTGTGTGATAATGTTACTGTTCTTAAAAAAAACCGTTTATGATCTTTAAGCAACAAACAAACAACAACAAAAAAAGGAACTTAAAAGGAAGTAACATTAAAAAAAAAATTAAACGCCTGTTTGAAAATAAATCGAGTTTTGAAAAGTTAAAAGAATAGAAATATTTTCATGACATTACCTATACGTTTACAGTATAGTGTATGACAGTTATTTTAAAGTGCATTTACTGCGCATTAGACATGTGTACTTATACTACACTGATATTTTAAAATCACTTTTAGCTGTTCTTAGCTAGTGATAAGCACCATTGCACGTACTGAATGAAATGGATTCAAAGCAGAAATGGGTTCAGACCAGTGTTAATTCAGAAGTCGGAAACGCTAGTTTTTCATAAAGATATCGAATGTAGAAAAGCTGTAGATCACTTATGTTTTCTTAGCTCAAAATAAAAACCAAGCTAAATAAATAGGCAAAAAATGAAAAAAAAAAAACCGACCCCCCCCCCCCCCCAAAAAAAAAAAAAAAAAAGAAAGAATAAAGGGAGAAAAAAGGGAAGAAAACAAAATATTTTAACAGTTGGAACAAAATTGAAAGGCAGATATGATCATTCTATTAAGTTCTTAGATTTTGTTTTTGTCCCAAGCACCCTTTCACCATTGCTAGACCATCATTCCTCCCTCTTTCTTTCGAAAACTCGAAAATTACATACATATTTATTTAAATTTAGATTATTTTTAATGTGTTTTATAGATTAAAGAAGACAAATTATAGAAAATGTTGATAAATACCAAAACTTCAAAAGTAATTTTTTATATCTATAAACTTAAACTTAATTTCTTAACAGGTAAATAAAAGGCTGACCTCTTTCCCTTCCTGAAACTATGAAATCCAGGTTGAGAACTTCTTCTGTAGAAATGTATTGAAAACTTTTAAGTTCCGTTGAAACTTCATCTCCAGTTTTTCAGCGTGAAGTAAAGGCTATACAGTGTCATACAATGTTTGAAGTTTGGAATGCATTAACTTTCATGTTATTGTTAGCATATTTTTGAAATAAGTGATAAAATTTTATTTTATTTATTTGTTCACTGTGAAAATCACGTTCATTATCCAACAAAGATAGTACTGTGTTACTTTGTCTTATAAAGTTAGCAAAATGTCAGTGAGTTTTCAATATAGGGTATAACTACGATAATTTTGTGCATTTCCTTCAAAATATTCGCTATAAAATCCCCACAGTTCTGCCCAACGCTCATTTATAAATAAGGTCCACCAGCAACCGAGTGGTAAATTCACTTAACACTGGTATTTTGTACTGAATGGGTGAGAGTTTTCGTATATTTCTCCATGCGTAACGTGAGTAGAAGCTAGTTTTCCTGAAAAGTCTTTCATGGAGGCATCATTTCTCTAGGCAGACAGACTTCGCGTGCATGGTGTAATCCAAATAATCCATATCATCTTGTTTAGATGTACAGATTAGCATAAACTTCTATTCATTTCATGGAAAATTTTTATACCATTTACGTCTTAAAATTAGACTAAAACGCAGACTTAGCTAGGACAAATCTTCATCGGTTTTGAGAACAATGAGACACAGTTCATCTTTCTTACGGAGCTAAAAATTTTTAAAAACTAAGCCGGTGAAGGTTGCTTTTTTGCCTAGCTTTAAAATTTGTGTATTTCTCTTCTATTTGGATTTTAGAGCTTAGCCAGAGGTCAAACTCGAAGTACTGCAAAATGAGCTTTGGTCTAGATATAATTCAGCTTATTTAAAATAAAATACTATTATAAAAGCTTTTTAGCAAATTCAGATGGTTCGAGTCTATTGGTAGGCGAAAGCTTTACCAAGTAACTTATTAAAAATTTATTTTACAGCTATGCTTTTTCCAAATAAATCATGTTCAAGATGCTTTTGTATAAAAAAACGCTTCCACCAACCGCTCACATGAGTCTCTGTGCTTAACCTTACTTTACAGCTTAAAATTAAAATTAATTATCATTATTTCAGTGGAAATAATTGAATTCTGGTTCTTGTAGTTTTATTAGATATGCGCTATTACTTGTCTCTGAAAAAGAATTTTAATTTGTAATGGTTATGATATATATAATTGCAGTTTTAAAGCATTACACTGTGTATGGTGTATCCGAGTTATTTTAATAATTAAACTGATTATTCATTTTAACTTTCAGATGGGTTTCATTCATGCTTGTCATGGGGACTACAGGCTAGAACCTTCTCCTCAGGCCAACATGTCACATACGCATCTCTTATTCAAAATGAACGGCGGCGATGAATCATCCTGTTCTCGAGCTGGTAAGTGTTTTACTTTTTTATTTTGAAGAAGGCTATTTTATATTTTAATCTGTTAAGAAGGGCGAACTAGACACAGAAATATGAAAAAAATGCTATAAACTTTAAAGCAGATTTATTAAACGAAATGCTGAATAAAATTATATAGAATTAATGTATATCTGAATAAAATAAACCTCACTGAATTTTTTTTTTATCAAACGTTTTCACTCTAACCTTTTTAATGAGTCTAGAATTCTCGCAGCCCCTTAAAAATATTTTATTATTTTAATTTTGCAAAACATTTAAGATTAACTATGTATATTACCGTTTCATAATAAATTTCATATATGTAATAAAAGCTAAAATGCGAAAAACTGCGAATAGTGTTTAGGTATGCTGCCGTATGTAAGCATCGTAAGAAGTAACTAATATTATGTATGTAAATAATATTTCTAATCACCTAATTATTCATAAAAATATTTAGTTTCCATGATTTGCAATAATTTTACGCTCCTCCCCCAAATTTGAGAAACAATAACTGAGATAATGCCTTTCTTCGATAGTTTGCTACAAAAATCTCGATGCTAGAATGGGGAGCATCTCAGTTATTACTGATAACTTCATAATGGGCTTTGTCAACGGGTATGTGACATATTATAGAAAATTATATCAGATAGTTCTGTAATATAACCCGGTGTTCATGCTTCGTAAAACTGCGAAATCTACGAAATCGAACACTGCTTGTTAATTGAATAAGAATCATTTAATATTTTTATAATATTTGCCTTTTTGAAATTTAATTTCTAGAAATGATTCTGAGTTGTGTTCCTGCGGAACCTTCCAAACTATCAGTGTCGTTTTAAATAACAAAAACATTTAATCAATTGATTGTACATTTAATTTTCGAAAGCAGATAATGAATTATTAATTGATCGGAAGATACTTTATCAGTAAAATAGTCTAATAATCGCATCTCGAAAAATTTAAAAACAACTTTAAACATAAACTAGTTTTCCGATTAGATTTTGAGAATAGTTTAGTTTTTACGCTGAAGTGCCTTTTGAACCCAGATTATTCATAACTGCAAGAAACGATTCGCCGGAGGAAGTTACTCGTTAATGTCAATATATTTGCTACTACGTCTGTAGAAGTCTAGGAACGTTATAGCATTTTAACTCGAACACCGCAAAGTTTAATCGAAATGAATTATTGTTAGATATAGTGTAACGCCTTTTCTTGTCAAGTAAATTTCAGTTACCTTGATTGAGCTAAAAATGAAATAATACTTCTTTGTATCACGATTTCACTTGTCATTCGGCATGTAGTTATTTTGTAGGTGTGTCTGCTTGCCGCGTAGTTGACCTACACTAGACTATGAATGAAGAAATAGGTTAAATCAAGTCAAACGTTTTACCCTTCCGTCTCGCTTATGTAGCATTGAGAATTCGTCAAAAATTCTGGAAACGATCATGTGATGTTGATTTTTATTGGGAAAACGCAACTGAGATAAATAACCTAGATCACTGTATGATGCCCTCTTCCATTCTTGACATTTTATTTTTATATAGCGGGGAATTTATAAGTGGGTCACCCATGCTGTACTTAAGCTCACGGAATGATTTTGATTCATATAAGACGAAAGTTTCGCATTACATTTAAAAGAAAAATACGGAGGTAGAAGAATTTTAAGACCATTCAGTTTAAATAACTGCAACTGTAGTTATTATTTTGCGAAAATCAGGTTTATACTTGATCGTTACTTTCGCTTCGTATTACCTCTGTCAGATCATTAATTTAATAAAGCAGATAACTGTAAAAATTAGAAAATTTCTTAATAATTAGCTCTTTAGTTGAATTAATATTGATGTTTTAACAACTTTAGAAATTCTGACTTTCATATATAGAAAATTTAAGTGGCGTATAAAATTGTATGAACACTAAGCATAATTTTTCATAATTACATTAAAGATGAACAAGTCTTGTGGAAAATGTTTTCGTTAATTTATTCTATTTCCCATAGAAGATTCTTAGCTGTACATCACAGACTATGAATAAATAATACCACTCTAAAGCTCTTGAATAAAACGAGCACCTTACTAAATTTGATTGCATTTAAAATTCTATGAAAAAGGAAGTTGCATTAAATCCTCTGCGAATAAAAGCCCAAACTTTAATTTTCTCCGCACACGATTCAATTGAAACAGTCAGTCTCACATTATTGATCACTATGACCGCCATTTCTTTTTACACGTGTGCTACCTCAAAGCCGCTTTCATACGTTTGTACATTGCAAAAATAGTCGACGATGAATATTTTGGAATATTTTGTTTATAGATACATGCTTTGAAAATAGTTTTTTTTTTTTTGTTTTTTTGTTAATTTCTCTCCAATAACACAACTACATGATATGCGCAGTTGCAATCTCGCTGCAGATTAAAAAGATAACGGTAGCTAGATTCTTTTTCATAAGTTAATCAGTAAATAAGCGACTTTTTCTCCACCTCTTAGTTATTTAAATGGTACTGGCTTATTAATAAAGTTCATTTTAACCTCGCTTATACACTGTATTGCTAATAATGAACGGATACATACAGTTGTTCATTTGAAATCAGATTGTGCGAAAATATTCTTCTAAGAAAGAAAGCAGATCGAAGAGTTATTCAGAGATTTATTTTCGCAGTAAATCAGGTACCGGTCTGCCATAGGAATTTAGTGCGGACACCTTATACGGTATTTCTTCCGCATTCTTAGCATGCCTTCGTAGTGTAGTGGTCAGCACGCTCGGCGCGTATTCGAGAGACCCATGGCGAGTCCCGGCGAAGACGTTGCTCATTTTTCATCTCTCCTTTAAAAAAAAAAACCTTATATATCTACAGTGGTGCTTGAACTAAAAGAGTGGTGGATGATGATTCTCCACCACCAGGATTTGGCGATTGGGTCCCCTGATCTCCAGTCGCCCTTTAAAGGGGGCGTATATAAGGTATTTGTACCACCTTCGTAGCATGCCTTCGTAGTGTAGTGGTCAGCACGCTTGGCGCGTATTCGAGAGGCCCATGGTTCGAGTCCCGCCATAAGTTTTCCTCATACGTGTATCGTTCCTACGCCATTTGCGGTTTTTCAATGCGCTGTGAATTTGCGCAGGGAAAACGTAGGTGTTGCCTTCGAAAATTTTGCAAGAACGAACAATAAGAGAACGAATAAGTTGAGCAAGTTAAGCACACACATTTTAACTAGTGCAATGCTTGTTAAATGTGCGTTCGTAACATGCACACACATTTGATGTGCTTAATGATGAGTTACCATGATGATGTCTGAAATGCAGCTTAGAAACAGTAACGTGTAATAAGGAAGCAAATGACTTAATATACTTGTATCGGAGATCTGAAGAGAAGATAGGAGGATAACTGTTGAGTATATTGGAATTTATTGTCGGATGGAATACTCTTAATTAAGGATGACATACATTTGTAACTATGTTTACTATCATATTCAGTATTTTGTTTCTATGCTGCTTCCTTTATATAAAGACGGGTTATATACCTTGGAATCGTTTATGATGGATGACGAATGTAGAGATCTTTTCTTACTGTTTTATAATGCGACTTAATTAGTTTAATTTCGCGTGTTAATATTAAAAGGAAAAAAATTAAAAATTCGCGTTGTTAATTGGCTTACTTGTGACAATTTGCATATTGTTCTATTACTTCGAACTTAGTCACGAGCTCGTTCCCTTCAGAGGCTATGCAGATTGTGAGAAGAGAGTAGGATTTAAGGCAGTTAACTGGAGCCGGTAGTTGGTTCGTTGGTCGGTTAGTAGCTTGCAGTTGTCTGATCCGAATCCTGTCTTAGTTGAAGTAACTGAAGAATTGCAGCCGATGTCGGGTCAGAAGCTTGGCAGATCATAAGAATGGAACCACTGGAAGCTGTGTAAGTTCGTTCTTTGTTATTCCACATAAACTAAATTTGATCCTTCAATGAAGCTGGAGAATTCTCGCACAAGCGTGAATAAATTACCAGTACAAAAAAAGAAAAGTAACCCTTTATTTAATTCAATTAATTAACAGAAAGGCACGATCTTCGTGCTTTACAATGGCACCGTCAACTTGTGGTGAAACTAAAACGTAGAATAATTCAAGTCAAAATCTAAAATAAAGTAGTGCATGTAAAAGTATGCATAACAGGTTGACTCACAAAACCTAATAGGCGTGATGATAATCCGCAATGGCCAAGAGGCTTACTAGCGTAACAGCGAAATAGCAACGAAATGTGCGCTGGCTAGCGAAAACAGGGATTCATCCGTTTAAATACGCACTTCACTTAACTGTAAATTTACATCTTGGTGAGAAAATGTGAGGGAAAGTTGAGAAGTTCAATAAAGGTATCAAACTTAAAGTAAATTTTTTATGCAAAATAAGGGAAACTCTACAGCTGTAGCCGTGGATTATTCATGTTGGAGGTAGGTAACGAGGATAAAAGTTCCTGTCCAGATAGGTAAGCTAGAATTTTATGGTTAGCTTAATAAAAAGTAGGAATTATGGTTTATCTTTGGATTAGCTTTGAACTGTGAATTTGAGTTCCGTCAAGTAGACTATTATCTTTATATTTTTGTTTGTAAAGGCTCAAGAAGAGGCTCGTTAAAGTTTAAATGTTAAATGTTATTAAGTCTTGCTTTGCATACATTTATTCGTTCCACCTCGATAACTCGGGAATGAAGTAGTGGCACTTTATAATTGGATTCCATAGAGCTAGCGGTGTTGGTAACGTTAAGCTAAACATACTAAAGAAAACCCACAAGTAAAGCACCATAAACTGACCAAGCTTGCGGGAAGAGTTTTGGATTTTAGTGCAGTGACTCGTTTTAAGATACGTCCTGGATTCTGTAAATATTTTCCAATTTTGTAAACAGTCCACAAAAAGTTGTTAGTGTCGCTCTTTAACGGCAGACTAACGGCTCTCTACCTCGGTAACAAAGGTATGTTTTTGGATAAAAAATATGTTTAATAATCAAATAATGCATTACA